GTTGGTGAAGCCGATGTTTTCAGTTGTTGCTAAGTGATGTTTACCCTGACCAAGGACTTTGTGAGGCTCATGCTCTGCCAGGGAGGAGGGGAAGCTGTGAGGAAGCAGAGATGGGGCGCCTGACCCAGGCTAGCCAGGGAGGTATTCCATACCACAGCACGTCATGCCAGGGGTGAGGGGTAACTGGGAGTTACCCGGAAGGACACGGGCTTCCGGGTGGAACTCATTTTCTTGGCCGGTGGTATCGTATTCTCTTCCCTTGTTATTTTCTCTTATCATTGTTGTAGTTGATGGTAGCGGTGGTGATTTGTGTTGTACATTGGTTGCTGGACTGTTCTTGTCTCGACCCGTAGGAGTTGCACTCTCTCGATCCTCCTCCCCGTTCCTCCGGGAGCGGGGAAGGGGAGAGCCCCGGTGGGGGGGGGGGGGCGGACACGGACCTCGATTGTTGTCAGCTCGGCACCACTCACTGGGAGTGAGTGAACAAGTTACCTGACTGGGTTTAAGCCACGACACTCTCTAAAAGCAAAATCAAAAACTTTAACCTGTTTTATTTTCAGCCGTATTTCTGAATAGGAGTTTCTATTTTCAACCTGTCATTTCAAGTGAATGAGTGACACTTGAGCAAATCTTGTTTAGATAATGCCTAAAAAATATGTTTATGTATTTTTATTTATTTATTTTTAATCTTTGCATTACAATCTCATATACTACTGCCAGTGCCTACAATCTTTATAGTCCAATTAGCCTAACCTTTAGGTGGCAAGTCATTTTTGCAAAAAAAAAAAAAAAATGGCTTCAGAGTGATAACTGCTTGGAGATAGAACATCAGCTGGAATGTCTGATTCACTAAGCTAGCCTGATAGGGTTTGAGGCAGTTTTCATCACCAACAACTGTCACTCTTTTGTTCCATAATTATTATTATCATTCATTGTCATTGTAGAGGTACTTTATTTTTGAAGGAAAACAATCTGAAATTGTCGTTGGAAAGTTTTGTCTGCACAAGACAATTATTATTAACAAAACCAGAGCACAATTTTTGTAACATACTGCTGCTATTTCAAATTCCAGATTCAGCATAATTCATATGCTGCTCATGCAGCAAGAAATTGACTAGGTGAATCTGCCTATGACTAGGTTGCTGTATCGGTCATGATCTGTGTTTTGCCCTTACAATCTCAGATGGCCTGTAACAGCTGGCTCATGAGAGAATCACCTGAAGGAGCTTTTCAGCCTGAATGATGGAACTTTATACTGGAAAATTATTTCTCTACCCTTGAATGTCAGGAATCTTTGTATTCATATGTTCATATGGAAATATCCTTCCTTCAGCTTTTTTGATGCATGGGAGTGCCTTCTGTAGTGGCTGTGACTTATTGAAGTGTGAATATCCACGAATATTCTTAGGAACTCTGTAGCTACTTAAACCTCTCAAGTCTGAAATAGTTTCAAGCTTCTCATTTTTAATGGAAAAGAAAGAACTTGCGTTTTCTTACAGCTTTGCTTTCAGTGAATGCTTGTACTTCCATGAAGAGCAAGGATTCTCATGGTCTGAGTGGAAGAAATGTAAAGAAAGAAAATGTATATGTTTAAGGGGCAGGTTAAGAGAATGTGCCTATCATTAGTTACATCTTCTAACTATCTACTGCTGTGGTACTTAAAAGATTTCCTATTAAAGTTGGTAGTCTTTTGAAAGCTACTCTGATTTCAGATGTAGTGGTTTTGGCATACACAACCTATGATCATGAGACAGTGAAAGTAGTACTAAAAGTTATGCTTGTCAATAGCCATAATTGTCTTTCTCTTTTAAAAACACTTTTTGAAATTACGAGTGAGGGTTTTTTTTTTTGTACTCACATATCTGTTCCATTCATCCTGCCATCTTTAGTGACAAGTAAGAGAACATTAGAGAATTATTGGTGAAAGCTGTTCTCTGTAACTGTGTACAGTTCATAGCACAGAATGGCTATCACTGAGTGCAGATGACCATAGTCAGAAGAGAAAATCAAACCTTGGCACTGGGAGCTGCGTGGTTAAGAGTAGGGTGAGGACTGTGAAATTCCCCAAAGCTATGTTCCAAACTAACTCTAAAAATAAATAAACCTTATATTTCCGAAGGAGGATGCATGTTATCATGACCATACTTAAAGTTGTCTGTTTTACAAACAATGTACAGAAGTAAGGAAGAAATTGCCCGTATGACAGGGAATCAAACACAGGCTGAAGAACTAAAGGACAAAAAGCAATCTGTCAACTAATTTAAAAATTGTCTTGCTGACATTTAGTGTTAAATTTGGGTGACTCAAGGGGTTTGAGAATTTTCTTCTGAAAAATATATTAGTGTATAACCCCTGAAAAATAAATTTTAAGTGCTGAAATGTATGATCTTCACATAGGATAAAAGATTTAAAAAGAAATAATAGTGCCTTCTCAAAAATAGTGCCTTCATAATTAACTTACATTATTTGATTCTCTGCTGCTGGTGCAGTCCAATAGAAAACATTGTTCTGATATCTCACAAAGATGAATTGGATTCTAAATTGTTAGGAGTATTGGGAATGTAAGGTTTATGATCACAGAGCAAAAGAGGTCGGAGGCAGGTAAGGTCACATCGCTGAATAAGACCTGTTGTTCTCAGGAAAATTAAAAAGCAAAAGAATAAAAGATGTAGTTCCATCAACTTGTGGTTAATGTGCTGTTCCAGAAGTTCAAACATCAGTCAGAAATCAGACTTCTTTTCTAAAAATTTCATTCTTATTTTCATCAGTTTCCACTTTCAAATAATATATATACTGGCCTGAAATTGTGTTTATTTTTAAGAAGCATCTTCTTCCAGTAGCAGACCTCTGCATAACTTAGTTCCAACAGAAAGTGTTTTATAATTGTAAAAGAGTTGGAGTTTCTTACATAAACTAATATATAAAACAACAATGAAATACAATGAAATGGAAAAAAAAAAACAAAAGCAAACAAAACCGATCTAACAAACAAAACCCTAAAATCTGCACCTAGAATAGCACCACATTTATTTTGTCCCAGCCTAACTTAAAAGAAGCAATTCTCTACAGGCTTCTAAACCTTAGTTATGCTTAACTTTAGGTTATTATACAAAATAAAAATGAAACAATTATTTTCTGTTGTTTGCAAAAATGCTGATGCCCTACTATGTTCTGAATTTCCATTTATTTTTTTATGTTCAACATTTATTTCGCTCTGTTGTGGACTCATAGAACGGTTTATGTTGGAAGGGATCTTAAAGCTCATCCAGTTCCAGCGCCCTGCCATGGGCAGTGACACCTTCCATTAGACAAGGTTACTCAAAGCCCCATCCAACCTGGCTTTGAATACTTCCAGGGATGGGGAAGCCACAGTTTCTCTGGGCAACCTGATAATAATTAGGAATTATTTTCCTAATGTCTAATCTAAATCTACCCTCTTTCAGCTTTGTCACCAAATTACATTTGGAAGTCGATTTTATAAAGTCATTCTGGTGAAAAGCTTTTGATGAAATTTTTCAGGCATGCTCTCTGGAAGCTGGAACTGCTTCTACAATAATACAATCTATACATTGAAACTGCAGGGTAGAGTGGAGAACTACATGTTTAGGCATTCAAAAGCATAATCAGACATTTATTACTTGTATTCATTTTATTAAAAGTACATAAAGTATTCTACCATTTTTATTATTTTTTTTTTAAATCATCCAAACCAAACAGGTTTAGTCAGAGCTTAAGAAATAATAAACCACAAATTTTTTGTCTAAAATATGGCTAACAAGTAACACTGTGTCTATACTAATGATAAAGTGAAATTAGCTTTATATTTGTAGTATTATTTATAATGTTTATATTGAAATAACTCAACTGAAAACATACTTTTCTATCCAATTTGCAGAAGACCACAATGGTATGTTTTAGAATTAGGAATCTTGCAAATAAATCGCTGCTATTCATGAAGTATTTGAAATACTTATGCGTTCAGCAGTTCAGTAAATAGCACAAGGAAATAATTCCCTAATTCCCCTAATAAGATGACTTTATACACTATTTATCCCATTTTTAAGACTGTAGTATCAGTAAATACTTTTAGTTTCTTTGTTCCAATTCTTTATCTATAAATTAAGCTATCAATTCCTGTAAAAATTGTTTCGGGGGTTTTGCCACTATTGAATGTTCATCACCTGTTTCAGTGGTTAGACTTTTTTTTTCCTCCTCTTTAGCCAGATTGTTTGTTCTCAGACTGTGATTTGTGAACTGTTAGTGATCTGTGACCTGCGAGTTTCTAATTTAAACTATCTGGAAGCAAAAGCTATTCAGGACTGGGAGTTTGAAAGCATACTGAATCTTTTTCAATAAGTACTGTGCAGAGTTAGAAACTGGAGAACGCAGAAGTTTCAAAGACTCATATCTTAATTTTCCATTTTGGGGGAATCTTCAGCATAATAATTCACATTCTTATCAGAAAATACTTTGCAATATGCTGCTTTTGTTGTTTCTTAAAGTTTGTGTATTCTCACTGAATTTGGTATGAATCTTATTAATATTAAATAAATAAATAAATGCAGTGCATTATTACTGGGCTCAGAATACGCTTCTGTACCATATGCAAGACTAACTGATTAAAATTTATTACTATAAATGAAAAAGAGGCTGAGTGTCTCAGTCACTCACCTGTCAGTCTCTGAAAGTGAATATTTTCAATTGTTAGGTCATATTTTTAGGTGCTATAGATTCTTTTAATTTAGTGTATCTATCTATACTTACTAGTATTTCTTAGTCATCTGCCCCACTGAATTTACAAATGCTCATTATAGAAAAAGATACTGTAAGAGCTACTACCAAAAGAGTAATTCTTGTGGATGATAAAATAAATTTATGTCGGAGCCTTGGCTATTGTTGGACATTCTAACTCCTTTTAAAAACCTGCAGAGATATATGCTCAGATATGTAATAAATGCCATTTTTAAATGTATTAAATAATTATGTATTTTTCACTTCAGGTGAAGTGTGATCAGTACTGGCCAAGCAGAGGCACAGAAACTTACGGCCTAATTCAAGTGACCCTTTTAGACACCGTTGAATTGGCAACATACTGTGTTCGTACATTTGCACTTTACAAGGTATATGTACTTCTATATACTTACAATAAAGTTTAAAATATAAATGTTGGCAACTTTTGTCTTTCCCTTCCCACAAAAAAATATTTAGCTCATTGAAAAAATAGCTAAATCTCTGGCATTTGTTGTCAGGCTTTACTGTGCAGTACAGTTAAAAGTTCTTGCATTGTTTGAATCCTGCAATTGAGAATATAAGAAACATTTCCCTCCATAGCCTGAGTTCTGTTTTTCTCTGGCCCCGAATGTGGTTTAAATACACTTTTCTGGTATATACGCTTCTGCAGTTGTTTTGTTGAAAAATGCCAATATCACATCAAGTGGCAGTTTTGTCATTAATTTTTTTAATACCATAGAATGGTTCAAGTGAGAAAAGAGAAGTGAGGCAATTCCAGTTCACTGCCTGGCCTGACCATGGTGTTCCAGAACACCCAACACCGTTCTTAGCTTTCCTGCGACGAGTGAAGACCTGCAACCCACCTGATGCTGGACCTATGGTTGTACACTGCAGGTAATCTCAGAATTCCTTTCAGAGCATCTTATGTCAATATTACTGTTTTCTATTGCAGATAAAAAACCTCTCTTCTTTCAAAGAGACTTCTGTCAAAGATGATTGCATTTTAAATTCGCAACTTGAGAACAGCACTGCCAACTTGGATGGGCCAGAATTATTTAATTTGGTCTGTGCAAGAGGAATTCATTTTAGAACATGTAAAGGTCTGCAGGGAGAACGTCTACAGGGACAATACAATTATAGTTATGGCATTCAGAAGGTGGCATTAAAAAAGTTTTGCTTTAAAAACAATGTTGAAGAAAGTGTGTTTTGAGCAATAAAACATCTTTTGAAATTATTACTTACATTGTGTATGAATGTAAAGAACATGAAACTTAAGGAAGATAAATGGCAACTTTTATTTACAGTAGGTAGAAACCTTACTCTGTTTTCAAATTTAAAGTACTAGGAGTAGGGAGAATGAAGAGATGGCCATTCTTTAGAAATCTTTGACGAGACGATCTTAAAATCATGCTTATAGCACTGTCAGAAGGCATGTGCCAGTTCTGATTGAAATAAGCTTTAAGATGGATCCTCTCATTCCAGGGCTGTGTAGTTATAGCTTGCATGGCTTACTCTGCTGCCCTTTTCAAAGCTAATGCCTAAGATCAGTGATTTTTGTGAGCTTTGTTTTGGGATACCATCAGTTAGTAAAGCAGAGAGCTACTAACTATTCACTTTCACTGGAGCTACAAATGCTTAGTGTATTTGAAAAATAGCTTTGCTTTTGCTATCCAAAAACTGAGGAACAAGAATTATAAGGATTATGCCCCCTCTAGTTCTGGCTTCTTACGTATTGGTAAGCCAGCCACGGAAGCTGTTTTTTTTTTAATATCTTCAAAGTAATTAAAAGAGGCTCTTGTAAGTAAGACAGGAAAAAAGTCAACATGAAAACAAAAGAATTACTTCAGTGTTAAAAGGCACACACTGTTTAGAAAATGTCAGAGGACATGGAATATAGACATTCAATGTTTATTGAAATACCAGGGTTAGGAATGGGAAATAAATATGAATAATAATTCATTTACACAGTTTGCTGAGTATTGCCTGAATGGAGACAGAACTTTCTGTACCTTTACAGGATTTTAAAACATTTTGAATATTGCCTAGAATTATAGATTACCTCAGCTTGAATTTCATCAGCTGACTCTGTATAGAGCATAACTGCAAATTGGATATGTTATGCTATAAATCAAAACCCAAACTAATAGAGGAAATGAATCCTCCCACTCTGTGAAGTCTGTTAAATTACAAGAATGACCTAAATTATCTCAAATAAAAAAGATGAATCAAATTGTTGTTAAGTCATACAGCAAGGCATTGAAACAAATGAAATAAAACACAAAACCTGTTATTACTTAGCAATACTGATGAAATGCAAGGTCATTATTTCCTCTTTTTCATTGGTTATGCATGAAAATTTCTCTGAAAGTGGTGGTCAGGTGAGGTAGTAAGATTTGATGCCTGTTGAAGGACTTTTTTTGAATTTCGTATTTATTTGTCAGTATTCTACAGCATGAATATTCTAGTCACAAATTTGTTGAAGCTTTTCACCTTATGTATAGCTTCTTGGGACTTTCAGATTTTAGGCATTTCACACAAGCTATCCTCTAAAATGTAGACTCCCACCTATTCTATTATTTTAATAAGCCTTTTGAGTCCCAATCCCAACAATTTGTCTATGAGCAGAATTAATGAAACCAAATTTCTTGAAAATTTACAGATTTATGTCTCTGGGCTTTTGGGTTGTTTTGTTTTTGTTATTTGTTTTGGGTTTTGTGGGTTTTTGTTTTTTTTGTTTATTGGGGTTTTTCTGTGTCTATGCATGTAGGAGCAAGGGCTGTGGACAGCCAAAAGTTCACGAATGTACTCATTAACTCGTAAGTGTTAATGTGCTGACTATCTAATTGGTAGACCAACAAGAATAAGTTACTGAAGTCTTTCTTACAGCAGTAATGTTAGTGTGGGTGTCTTGTTTTCAGGTATATCGTAGCAACACTGTATTTTGAGACTTGTGTTGCCTTATCATTTTGAATTTGACATTATTAAACTGGTAAAAGAAAATCCAAACAAGAATGACAGAGCACCAGCACAATTTTGTTAAGCTAAAAGGTAACATGTTTCATTCAGCAATATGAAAAACTTTAATACTCTAGTTTGAAACTAAAGTCCCAGACATACTTGCACATTTCATTTCAAGCTCAGAAAAAAATTTCATTTTATGTTGAAACATAAATTTCATTTTATGTTTTGAATGTTACTTGCTTTCAGATTTCTTTAGTCTCCTCTCTGTTGTTCACTCTGTGAATGTCTTCATTCTTCTAATCTTCAGTCATTTCTTTTCTTCCTTTTTTTTTATTTTTTTTTTTCCTCTTCAGTGTCTGTATTAGAGAATTACTCTCATTATATTCTATTTCTGTCCTTTGATTCTGCTGTTTTTCAAATTTATTTCACTGGTTTTTACCATCTTGCTTTACAATTTCAATATGAAATAAGTTCCTACATGGAACTGTTTAGTATTTTCTCTGAAGAAAGATTGTTGTTCTAATGGTAACATTCTCCTGCCAATTTTTGTCATGCATCACCTTTCACTTCCTTCTGGTAGTCACCCTATTCCACTGAGATATCTGTTCTTGATAAACTTCTTGCTTTTCTTTCTTCCTTTGCTGGCTCGTAGTCTGCCACTGCAGCCTTTTAAAATAAGTCCCCTTTTCCTTGTTCTATATCTTATCTGTCACTGCCTCCCATTTTGTGTTCAGGACTCCCTAAGTCCCTTTTCATTAAAGTTCATGTACTACTATCACCCAGATAAGAAATGTATTTCAAACTTTCTTTGCTAGAGCAAAATAATATAATACAAGACCATATCTTGTATCCTTTACCAATGGTAGGCAGTTCTTTTCCAAGATACCCCACTGAAGGAATAATGAGTTTACTCCTCAGCAGGACATGGGATTTATAGTGGGGAGTGTAAAACAACTGAAACAACACTTATACCTTCTTTTGTGTTTCTTCCAGTACCTAAAAAACTGTCAGAACTCAGGAAATTCTCATAATGACATATTATAGAAGTATAAATATAAGGGGGTTTACTTTTAAAAAACTGGTAAGAAAGTAGGTGCAAAGAAGCCATGGAAGCATATTTCTACAAAGCTTTTAAGCCATAAAAAATAAGGAATATGAAATCTAGCAAGCAACTCAGTACAGGGGGATGCTGTTTATCTGTAGCATTTCTGAGAATTTAGCACAAAGTTTCTTACTACTCAAAAGCAGAGTTTCTTTTCACTTTTGATTCAGGTCAGCACCCAGTAAATGCAGCAGGAGCCTGACTAGATGAGGACCAAATGAAAGAGCCAGCTATCTGCATTTTGATCCTTAGACAGTAACCCCCTATTTACTCTGTATTTATAAGCAGGTGTTTTAAGTAAAAGGTTTAGCCCAACATTTTCCTTACTGCATTCTCCAGATCTGCCTAAATATTGACAGTTGTCTTGCAGTCCACTTCACGTTAAGAGCGTATGAGGTTTTTCCGGTTTTCTTGGTGGTTTTGGGATATGGCTATATATCTTGTAGAGAATTGGGACCCCAGACCAGTTTGTATCAAACCTCAGTAGCTGATAAGCTAGTTCAATATCCTGTTCCTAGGAAATGGTTGTTGAGCGTATGAAGAATTTATTTAATAACTTCCAGTGTGCTTAGAAAACTTCTGAGGTAGAAAACAGTGACAACTGTAAAACTCACCCTATAAGCATTTGAATGCATTCTGTTCACAAAACAGTGACCAGAAAAAAAAAAAAAAAGCAGTCTTAACTGGTGAAATTACTGTGAATGTAATATAAGTATTACCATATTACCATTCAAAATTACTAGACTTTGTAAGGTATGTTCTGATAAACCCATGTTAAACAAATGCCAGTGGAAGTCTTCAAAAGAAGTTCTGTGTGATGAAAACAAAAATACAGAATTATATGATAAGAATTTATGATCACATTAGTAATTATTTGTTACTAATATCCATGCAGCAGACATCTTGCATGTTATTTGCACACCTACTTTTGCTAATTAACAGTTTGCTTGCCTTTGCATATTGAATCTGAATCTAATACAGAAGTCAAAAACATGCGGAGCATTTCAATATGTACATTCTGTCAGCCAAAGCTCTTACCTCTGCAGAAAAGTTGGCAGATTTTTAAGCTGAAAAAGTAATTAAAATATAGATAAAGCTATTTTATTTTTAAGGAGAAAACAGATCATTGCTGAAAGGATTGTGAAGCACTAAATGTAATATCAAAGACTGATCTAAATGCAGATTTTTTAATTTACATAACCAGAAATTCTGGTAGGACTACCTGCATGAAAAAGGTGCAGTGGTAATAATACAAATGCATAATGCTTTTGCACATTTCTTTTTTTCCAAGGAAAAAACCCCATAGTTTACTCTCTATATCCACTTGGTTAGCAAATCAAGGTAAAGTTAAGTTTAGAAGTGTATTTGTTATAAACTGCCATGTTCCGTGATCCTTGCTTTAGTTTCATTCTTCCAGCGACAGCAATATTGTTATTTTCAGTAGAGGAAAGCAGCTAAATACAAGGTAAAGTTGCATGCAAAAAAACCTAATAACACAAAAGAAATTTAGCATTACCATCATTTTTGTAGATACTTTTCACGCTGTGTGCTCAAATGTTGACTTGTCTTATTTAGAACAAGTGTGGTGGGTAAAGTCTTCTTGTGTGAAGACTTTTTTTGTGGTGGGTAAAATCCATGATGCAGGTAGATGCTTTCTCATTTACAGAATCTTACATTTTGTAAGACTGTATCCTCTCAATCCCTTTGCACAGAAGTTGAGTAATATTCCAATCCAACTGTTCTCTCCACATGATTTGCCCTAATTTGCAGAGCTGATCTAGAAAAAAGGGTTTATTTAGCGCAAAACTGCAGGCTTAAACCCCAGGATTCT